TCCCCCGGGAAAAATTTGAAATTAGGGTGCTCCTGCTTGCTGGGCACTTTTGTCATGTTTGGGCAAAAAAGTGGCCCGGCCAAAGGTGAGGGAAAGAAGCTAGGGAAGTGATGATTTTTTTCTCACTTGGGAAGGGGCTAAACTCCACAGTAAGGACGAACACTCAGCTGGAGATGAAAAGCAAAGGGGCGTAATGAAATGATTGTTGGAAGGGGCAATAGAGCAAACTTTGGAAGTTGGGAAACCTCAAAATCTGAATGAACTAAAAAAATATACACCGTGACAGTTGGAATTTTATGGGGTCAGTTGGCGTGAAAATATAATAGAGATGGAAAGAGGGATCTACACCACTCCACATAAAGATTGCTACTTCATGGAGAAAAGCCACACAGTGGAAGAGTGTCAAGGTCGACAAATATCTCGACACAAATGGAAAGGGAGAAATGGGAGGGGGAGTCAAGGATTAAAAACATCTCGACACATATGAAAAGGGGGGAAGGGGAGGGGGAGTCAAGGATTAGAAACATCTCGACACAGATGGAAAGGGGGAAGGGGCGTCAAGGATTTAAAACATCTCGACACAAATGGAAAGGGAGAAATGGGAGGGGGAGTCAAGGATTAAAAACATCTCGACACAAATGGAAAGGGAGAAAGGGGAGGGGGAGTCAAGGATTAAAAACATCTCGACACATATGAAAAGGGGGGAAGGGGAGGGGGAGTCAAGGATTAGAAACATCTCGACGCAGATGGAAAGGGGGAAGGGGCGTCAAGGATTAAAAACATCTCGACACAAATGGAATGGGAGAAATGGGAGGGGAGTCAAGGATTAGAAACATCTCGACGCAGATGGAAAGGGGGAAGGGGCGTCAAGGATTAAAAACATCTCGACACAAATGGAATGGGAGAAATGGGAGGGGAGTCAAGGATTAGAAACATCTCGACGCAGATGGAAAGGGGGAAGGGGCGTCAAGGATTAAAAACATCTCGACACAAATGGAATGGGAGAAATGGGAGGGGAGTCAAGGATTAGAAACATCTCGACACAGATGGAAAGGGGGGAAGGGGCGTCAAGGATTTAAAACATCTCGACACAAATGGAATGGGAGAAATGGGAGGGGAGTCAAGGATTAGAAACATCTCGACACAGATGGGAAGGGGGGAGGGGCGTCAAGGATTAAAAACATCTCGACACAAATGGAATGGGAGAAATGGGAGGGGAGTCAAGGATTAGAAACATCTCGACACAAATGGAATGGGAGAAATGGGAGGGGAGTCAAGGATTAGAAACATCTCGACACAGATGGGAAGGGGGAAGGGGCGTCAAGGATTAAAAACATCTCGACACAAATGGAATGGGAGAAATGGGAGGGGAGTCAAGGATTAGAAACATCTCGACGCAGATGGAAAGGGGGAAGGGGCGTCAAGGATTAAAAACATCTCGACACAAATGGAATGGGAGAAATGGGAGGGGAGTCAAGGATTAGAAACATCTCGACGCAGATGGAAAGGGGGAAGGGGCGTCAAGGATTAAAAACATCTCGACACAAATGGAATGGGAGAAATGGGAGGGGAGTCAAGGATTAGAAACATCTCGACACAGATGGAAAGGGGGGAAGGGGCGTCAAGGATTTAAAACATCTCGACACAAATGGAATGGGAGAAATGGGAGGGGAGTCAAGGATTAGAAACATCTCGACGCAGATGGGAAGGGGGAAGGGGCGTCAAGGATTAAAAACATCTCGACACAAATGGAATGGGAGAAATGGGAGGGGAGTCAAGGATTAGAAACATCTCGACACAGATGGAAAGGGGGAAGGGGCGTCAAGGATTAAAAACATCTCGACACAGATGGGAAGGGGGGAAGGGGGAAGGGGCGTCAAGGATTAAAAACATCTCGACACAGATGGGAAGGGGGAAGGGGCGTCAAGGATTAAAAACATCTCGACACAGATGGGAAGGGGGGAAGGGGCGTCGAGGATTAAAAACATCTCGACACAGATGGGAAGGGGGGAAGGGGCGTCGAGGATTAAAAACATCTCGACACAGATGGGAAGGGGAAGGGGCGTCGAGGATTAAAAACATCTCGACATAGCAAACGTGTATGGAGAACAAAGATTACCTCACAGGGAATGTTGAGGTAGGAGGGGAGAAAATTCGCATTCCAACTCAAGCATTCAAACATGTCTTCCTGTGCGTTTCTCCAAACGAATAGGCATAACACAGTCAATGGGGAAGCGTCTGCAGTGTAGTAACAACAAGAGTTACTAAACACAAAGCTTGTGTTAGAGAGGATACAACTTCAGACGAACAAATTCATCAGTCTAAAGAGGCCAGTCACACAGTCAAGGGTTGTATTCTGGTGGTCTAGTGCCATGACAAACCACCTCCAAACACTTGACAGTATGGTCAGAATGGATATTGCCACACAAGGGGGCACTGGGGTGATAATTATTCTCAGGCGGTCTAGTACCATGGAAAAGTCTGCCTACAGCACCAACATTTCCCACAGCAATCAGTGCAAAAGGGGTGCAGTCATTAAAATCTGGGGGCCTAGTACCGTAGAAATGTACTTCCGAGTTACCGACTACTTTATTTGGGGTCTCATTATGCGGGGAGAGAGATGGAGAAAACGGTCTCTCTCTGGAGGATACGGGGGCAAATGTTGATGGATTTGCCGCTCCTTCCACAGGGGAGGGAACCTGTGGGCGAAAAATCGTCTAGCTCAGCGAATAAAAAAGATTCCATTCCATGCCCAGTGGCGATTGGATGATGTTCACGCAAAACTATTGGGGAATCTGACGGATTTAATAAACGAACAGGAACTTCGCCGGCAACACTCGACTTGACCAATGTAGAGCCTACAAGTACAGAACTGCAATTAGGGGAGGGCATTCTCTCAACCAAGCTAGTCGAGTACGAACATGCAATTCTGCCTATGGCAATTACTTCTGAACGATCTGGGATGCTCACAAGCTCATTCAAAACTACATCGCTACCTTGAACTGGAGACTGTGGCTCCACAGTTCTACCTTGAACTGGAGACTGCGGCTCCACAGTTCTGCGGGGAAAATGCACCAGCTCATGCAAAGTGTCAGGCGTCGGTACAGCATGAGACTCTTAATCTCAGGGTCGTGGGTTCGAGCCCCACGTTGGGCGCCAATGTTGACAATTCCTCTCTTATTATTATTGTCTCTCGGACTAACGCAAAGGCACCAAGTGGTTATTGGAGGACGCAATGTCTTATTATTGATATTGATGAGGTTGGACGAGGATTGGACTAGACGAGACGAGATTAGAACTGACGATAACTAGACGAAGGATTCGACTACTCAAGATTAGACTCTGCGAAGTCTTGTTATACAAGGAATTACTATAATAAATATGTACGGTGCAATGCATAAGCGCCCAATTAGCTGACGCGCAGATTATGTGTATAGTCCGGTGGCTATGTACACTAGAAACTAGAAAGGGATGTAATTAGATTAAATGTACGGTGGTTTATGTGCAGGGTCAGAAGGAGGGAAAACGGGCTGCAGATGTGTATGGTACTAATTATTGCATGCAGGGGCAGCGGGGAAATGGTACAAATATGGAGGTTATGATGTGTGTACTGTACTACATGGGGGTGAGTAAGGGTTTATAGGGGACATGTACAACATAACCATGGTGACTGCGGGTAACCATGGTGACTGACGGTAACCATGGTGACTGCGGGTAACCATGGTGACTGCGGGTAACCATGGTAACTGACGGTAACCATGGTGACTGACGGTAACCATGGTGACTGCGGGTCACCATGGTAAACTGCAGGTAACCACAATACACACGTGTTGTCCCTGTACCTCATGTAAAGCCACCGAGATGTTTGGTACACAGACAGCAACTTGTTGGCCCTGCATTTCATGTGGCTCAGTCAGGTTTTATTTAGTTCACTGCCGTTCTAGGCAGGTTCTTGATTTTTAAACTAGCCTGCACACGGGGCCGTAGCATTGGGATGTCAGACGGTTCGGCCAGATTGGGTACTGGTTGTGTGTGTGTGTGTGTGCAAGTGTGTGTGCGCGCGCGCGTCCGTGCGTGTGCACGTGCATGTGTGTGTGTGTGTGTGTGTGTGTGTATGCGAATTCCGTCTTGCGCAGAGCTTTGCACCAGCAAGAACTGTAACTGCAGGCGCGGGTGGAGCGGAAGCAACTGTGACAAGCGTAAGTCTATGATGTAACGTGAATAGCGATGATGTAACTGCATGACATTGAGTAACGATGATGCAAGGCCGTCACAGCCGGGGCGGCTGGGGCGGCTGAGGCCGCCCCACTTTTTCGGCCGTTTTTTTTTTTTTTTGAGCACATTACAACAAAGCACAATGATCGCAGCTTAGCGCAAACGTGACAAATCCTTGTCCCCGATCGTGGTTTGTTGCAGAAAAAAGTCTTTCATTTCAGTTACACTGAAATGGCACCAAATGCATGGAAATGTAAAGGAAATGGTATTGCCTTCTCCCCCTGGCCCCCGTGTCACACAACAGCTCAAACAACTTGGTGGAGTTTCTGACTTCTTATACAAACGGAAAGGGCACAGGAGGAGAAAGACGAAAAGACTAGACAGAAAACGACGACGGGAAAGACTCCCGGGAAAAGACTCAGAGGACCAACAAAGAACAAGCAGTAATAAACCGAGGACAAATCGTGACGACCAATCAGGGACTAATACGTACAGAACACATGACCAAGACCAAGACAACCAGACCACGGACGAATCACACACGACTCTCATTCCCAGACCAAACTAGCACTGCGCATGTACTGCATTCACTTGACAGTCACTCTCACACAGACGGAAGCACATCCTCACACTCTGACAACGCGTACTCCTGCATGCACCACATACCATAAACGTCACACATCACACCATGCTCACGCGTACACCTAGACCATATATGACATCAGACACTGGACTCCACAAGACAAGAACCAAATACAACGACATGCGTAAATCATAGTCGTAACATAAATTCGTTACACAGCCTTCCCCTCCGGCGAGAGTCGACCTCGACTCTCAGAAGTAGAAAAATGGAGTAGGAGGAAAACAAAAGGGTTGAGAAGACACAATAACAGGAGAAGAAGACAGGACAACGGCAAGTGGCTGGCTGCAGACGTGGAGATGGGAAAACCTTGGGTGTGGTTCCACGAGGTGGTGCGTCGTACGACTTGCCCATTCGGATGTGGAAGATGTGTATAACATGTACAAATGGAGCAACAGAACACAGCAGGCATGTAGTCAATCAGGGAAAAGAACAAATCGAAAATCCATCGATACACTGTCACACAAACTTCAGAAGGGGAGAAACCCACAGGACTCTAACCTGACTAGAAAACTCGGCGCGGAGCCGGCATAAGTGTCCCACACTTTTCCGATGGCGGATCATCTTGTCGTCCCACGACCCCGTATGATCCTGTCGTCCCACGACCCATAATAATCTTGTCGTCCCACGACCCATAATATTTAGATTTTTATTTATTTGTTTTTTTTTTAATTTTATACTTCCCCGACAAAAGGCTAAACAAACACTGGGGCCCACCAGCTCACGAAGGGAACCGTGGCTCACCATGATCAGACATTCACCTGGTGAACTGAACAGACCCGCAGGTCGACACAAAACGAGAACAAAATACGCTCCCTGAAAGACTACCTATGGCTATGAACCAACTCGTAACCAAGAAAACTGTTCCAGTACAAACCATCACAGCAAAACGTGTGTGGCAACTTCAAAACCGAACCAAGCTTACAAACCAAACAGTTACATAAGTAGTTTGTTTCTCCGTATAGCCTCTATTGTGAGACGATTTTCCCTGATGATAGTCTCGAGAAAATCGATTAGGAACAACCATTTTAGATACATGTATTCTCATTCATCATTTTGTAATGTCCGCTTCACTTATACTATTAATCGCATTAATAAAGTTACACAACCACACTGAAAGGCTAATCAAGAAAACTGCACAAACCCCAGCAAATATACGCACACTGACTGCAAAAACCAAAACAGAAAGACACAAGAGAGACACAAGAACCGGATCGCCGTCACAAAGACTGATGGTATCGGAACGATAGCGCGAAAAGATAAAGCGCAACTTGCCAAGAGGCACCACCCCGAGTACGTCGACATGATGCTCAAGCTCTATCGAGTGAGGCGACGGGACCACAACGAATATACAACAACCAAACCCTCTACTGGGAGCGACTCACCGGGTAAGGGGCCTGCAGGCCAGGCTGGCGAACGCCTTTCCATCTCCATGGCCGTAGTAGCAATCTCGGTGAAGTGAGTTGAACGACGAGAAATAAAATATATTTCGAAACGGCGAGCATGAACTGAAGCCACGGCGAAAACGAAGAGAAAACGATCTCAGGGTCGTGGGTGCCGATCACTAGTTGGGCGCCACTGTAAAGGAAATGGTATTGCCTTCTCCCCCTGGCCCCCGTGTCACACAACAGCTCAAACAACTTGGTGGAGTTTCTGACTTCTTATACAAACGGAAAGGGCACAGGAGGAGAAAGACGAAAAGACTAGACAGAAAACGACGACGGGAAAGACTCCCGGGAAAAGACTCAGAGGACCAACAAAGAACAAGCAGTAATAAACCGAGGACAAATCGTGACGACCAATCAGGGACTAATACGTACAGAACACATGACCAAGACCAAGACAACCAGACCACGGACGAATCACACACGACTCTCATTCCCAGACCAAACTAGCACTGCGCATGTACTGCATTCACTTGACAGTCACTCTCACACAGACGGAAGCACATCCTCACACTCTGACAACGCGTACTCCTGCATGCACCACATACCATAAACGTCACACATCACACCATGCTCACGCGTACACCTAGACCATATATGACATCAGACACTGGACTCCACAAGACAAGAACCAAATACAACGACATGCGTAAATCATAGTCGTAACATAAATTCGTTACAGAAATGCTTGCAATTGGCTTCAATTTTTGAATTTTTTTCCCGGGGGAGGGTAATGTTTGTCCCCGATCGTAGCGCCTTCTTCGTTTATTGCAGAATCAAAAAGACTTTCATTGTAGTTACCGTACACTGAAATGGCACCAAATACCCGGAAATGCTTGCAATTGGCTTCAATTTTTGAATTTTTTTCCCGCGGGGAGGACCCTGGACCCCCCTTCCATGGCCGCCCCACCTCCAAAGTCGGTGCGACGGGCCTGTGAAGTAACTGCATGACATTGAATAGCGATGATGTAACTGCATGAGTAAAGATGATGTTACTGCATTAGTAAAGATGATGTATCTGCCCAAGTGTCACAAAATGATGATGTATTAAACATAAGTTACACTGATCATGCGATGTAATGGCACGAGTGAACATGCAGTAACTTGGACTACTAGCTGCACGAGTAACATAATGTAACTGCATACGTGATTATGATGTAACTGCATACGTGATGATGATATAACTGCATGAGTTCTGATGATGCAACGGCATGGGTAACATCAATATACAAAATCTGCGAGCGTGAAATTTCTGCAGTTGGCATTTGTTATCGACATGCTTGGGGAAATTTCTGCGCATCATTCTGAAGAAATTGCTCAAAAAGGAAAACCAAATTCAAACTATGTAATCGCATGAGCTGACTGTCAAGTAACTGGTGGTGTTAGTGGACAATATAGCGTAACTTGTAGTTCCTTCGTCCTTTTCTTTGCTATAAACTTTAAAAATTACTTTTGAAATTTATAGAAAAGAAAAGGACCATAAATTCATCCTTGGCTCTCCATCCAAGTCCATACTTTTGAACTATTTGGAAAAGTCTAGAAGAAGTCTGGACTTTGAAACACACTGTAGAATGCTTGCATCAATCTTTTTTTCTCTGCCTCTTATCGATGCAGGTCAATGCAATGTGCGTGGGAAGTTGTATGATGATGGAGATGAGTATTCCTACACCCAAGGCAACGCTCAATGCACACCGCTGTGTGAGTGCCGGGTGAGTACACTGTGAGCTGCTCAAACCCTGCTCAAACCCTGTTCAAACCCTGCTCAGATCTGTTCAAAGCCTGCTCAAACCCTGCTCCCACCTTGCTCTAACCCTGCTCAGACCTTACTCAAACCCTGCACAAACCCTGCTCTAACTCTGCTCAAACCCTGCTCAAACCCTGCTGTTCTCCGGCACTTGTACTGCTCTGGTCACGGCTGCGACGCATGTACAGTGCGATCAAACTTGTGTTGCGCGGCTGCCTCTTCTAACCGGCATAGCTTTGGCAGGGGCAGGTTTACAATCGACACCATTTTGCTGGACCGCGGATTTGTTTTCACTTTTCAGTTGTCCAGTTTCCAGCCTAGTTTACTGACACAGTAGCTTGCATGCATGCAATGTTGTGAGGCCGGATTGGTGTCAAACAGTGGAAGGACAGCATGGGGGAGGGGGTGCGGGTCAAATGAAGTCGCCCAAATCACCCAAGTGCACTCTTATGCCGAGTAGGCCAACACAACAACCGCTTCCCTGCACAGCTCGACGATCAAGTCGACACACGAACATGAGTTTTTTTTCACGTTCACTTTCTCGACAAGAAGACAACAGCAATACTGTAAATGCCATATAGATATAATGACGTGCTAATTCTAACGACTTAACGAGGAGAAATCTGTCGTACAAATAGAAATTGTTATACTGATACCTTGGCTCTCCATCCGAGTCCGTTATACTGAAATTGATACTTATGTAACGTTGGCACGCTGGGGACTTCAAAGCGTATAGCGTTTAGTGTTTAGAGTATAACATATCCCCGTACTGTATCCCCAAACGTTAGCGTATCCCCGTACATTAGCGTACGGAGTCTGCCTTTGTATCAAAGCTGCTGCTCACGATTCTTTTATAGCCAGTTAGGTAATTTAGTTGCCGATCAGTTAATTTCGTTGCCAGTACATTTCAATTGCCAATTACAGTGTGTTCACTGAGACCCTTGTGCGTTCTTGCCTCCGAGAGACTGCGGCCCGCTACAAATTGGTGGCAGCGGTAAATTCATTTTGCTTCATTCTATAACTAACTTTGTTACTTTACACGTTTCTCGGACCCCCATGGCTCAACCCGCTACAGCTCCGTGCGACAAATCAAGATGAGAATCATGTTTCTTGCCTTCCTGGGCTTGGCCCTGCTTATTAGCCTGCAGCACAGTCAGGGTGCTAGCGTGGATCACCCTTCTCTCCGCACGGCACTCACTGGAGACTCCGATGGCGATTCCAAGCGACCCGCTACCTACATGTATACTACCGGTGGTGATGGCGAAGCTGATGAGGACGACGACATGCAGGCTGCTGCCCAAGACAAGGAGGGTATTTCCCAAGACCAGCAGCGTTTGATTTTCGCCGGCACGCAGTTGGCAGACGGCCGAACCCTGAGTGACTACAACATTCAGCAGGAGTCCACTATTCACTTGGTACTTCGTCTCCGTGGTGGGATGCAGATTTTCGTCAACACTCTTCCTCGCTAGGCCATCACTCTTTACGTCGTGCAAAGCGATGCTATCGACAATGTGAAGACCATGATTCAAGACGAGGAGGGAGGTTATTTGTCTGACGCCGAGTTAGCCGCTCTGAGTGACCGGCTCAACCAAGATGAAGATAAAACCTGGCTCGCCCTCCGCCGTAGCTCCAGCCGCCGCCGTGGTTACTAACGCTGATTCCAGGTATGGCATTTTCTTTCCTCTCTTCCTTCAGTCTCCCTGTTCTTTTCAGTCTTCCTTTATGCGAGTGTGTGAATCCAGTTTAGTGTGGTAGGCGTCTGATCATGGTGAGCCACGGTTTACCCAGCTAACGTGGGACAATGTGTGTGACAACGCCCCTTATAGTTATAGTTTATTCAGTTCGGTTTTTGAACTGCGATGTTCCTTGCGGGTTGTGCCAGCGTTGTGCAGCAAGAGTGCTGTGGTTTTTCAGGTCCTATTTGCAGGACAGTTCTTTCCCCTTTTGACCCCGTGAGATCGTGTGAACCTGGTGTGTTTCTACTTTATGATTTGTTTATCAGTTCATTCTTCTGTCTATTCCAAACGTTATCATTTCCGATATTATTTGCCATACTCCGGTTGACGCTCTCCCAGTAATTTGCGATCTACTATAATGTTCACGACTCCATACCTGTATTATATTATGCAAGTCATCCATTCTGCCTATCTCTTATCGTCGAGTTTATTCCGACGCGACCATGCATGCCGCCAGTTTTTTTCTTTCTAAATAGCAGCCAGTTGTTGATGTCCAGCTATCACCTACATGTAGTATTCGAATCACGAGGACGTGATTGTATTTGAGAGGGGAGGTGTAGCGTTGGCACGCTGGGGACTTCAAAGCGTATAGCGTTTAGTGTTTAGAGTATAGCATATCCCCGTACTGTATCCCCATACGTTAGCGTATCCCCGTACATTAGCGTATGGAGTCTGCCTTTGTATCAAAGCTGCTGCTCACGATTCTTTTATAGCCAGTTAGGTAATTTAGTTGCCGATCAGTTAATTTCGTTGCCAGTACCGTAACGTACCGCCAGAGCGCCCCGTCTCGCGAGAGCGCCCCACCTTGATTTTACAGCCAGAGAAAGGAAAATCGTATGGCAGAGTGCAACGAAGTTTGTACGATGTAAGAATCTTAGTGTACTAAGGTCACACTTGGCAGGTTTTGTGTGGAGCTTGTGTCCACTCGAAGGTACGGATTGACTGCAAAACGTGCAATATGTGTACAAGGTTCATGTCGTATGACCTACTGACAGCAGACCACCTCCACAAAACGACCACGAAAGGATGAGATGGTGGGGCGCTCTGGCGGTACTTTACGGTACATTTCAATTGCCAATTACAGTGTGTTCACTGAGACCCTTGTGCGTTCTTGCCTCCGAGAGACTGCAGCCCGCTACACTTATACTGTTCCTATTGAGCGTTGAGAATGAGTGAGAATCGTTACCTTTGCTACACGTACACCAGTCAATTTTAGGAAATCGTTATAATTATAATTATGCGTCTCCGGCGTTAGATTAATGGCTTTTGCAGTAAATGGCAATCAGCATCGGAATATGCTCGCTGGTCTGTTGGGATTCATGATTCATGATTCATGATTCATGATTCATGATTCATGATTCATGATTCATGATTCATGATTCATGATTCATGGTCACCGAAACTAAAACACATTCCCAGGGGACTACTTTAATAATAATGTTATTGTCCATCAGCACATACACACACACACACACACACACACACACACACACACACACACACACACACACACACGCACGCACGCACGCACACACACACACACACACACACGCACGCACACACACACGTACGCACGCACGCACACACACGCACGCACGCACGCACGCGCACGCGCGCGCACGCACGCACACACACACGCACGCACGCACGCACGCACGCACGCTAGCACGCACGCACGCACGCACACACACACACACACACACACACACCTCAGACCTCAGACATGCCCGTCGCGGAAGCGATGATAGCGAACAGCTATGTTAGACATAGCACCTTGTGCTGGGATTACACCATTCAACAGCTTGCAAGACACACACACACACACACACACACACACGCGCGCGCACACACACGGCTAGCACCCAGCAACCAAAGATGGGGCCATGAGTCAGGTGAAAGTTGCATGATGTTACTAGTATGTAGTTTGTCTATTGCCTTTTTCTCCCGTTTTTTCCCTCCCATGATGGTGTGCTGCCCCCCCCCCCACCCCGCCCCCGCCCCGCCCCACCTCACTCCCCGTCCTGTACTTGTTGGTCGGAACCGTCTGCAGGATGGACGTACACACTGTCCGCCCACACCGCAGTGCCCGAGCTTGCCCTGCCCGCCGGAACAGCGTCAACAGCGCAGCGATGGTTGCTGCGACGAATGCATGCGTGACTGGGAACAGCAAGGTATGACACTTGCACACTGTAAACTGTAAACTGGCTAATTTTACCGCCAGTGATATTTTTAACCATCTTGGCGAAAGGAGTGTTTTCGCTAAAGTTTTTCCGCGCCAATCGAAATTTTGTATCTACAACAATACAGTGCTGGTCATCTTTCTTTTTTCACTGAACTCTGAAACTCGGATCGCTAAAACATTTCATCTCGAATTGATCCAGATTCAGAGAACGCTAATATGTCTCCCCGCTGCCGCCGCATGCAACTGCAGAATAGGCAACAAAGAAAAAATGATATCAAAACGGTCCTAAAACACACGAAATGCCAGCGAAAACCTCTCTGTTATCGCACTTTCTGACTGTTTATCATCTTGTTACAGTCGTGGATAGTTGCTGCATAACTCGTTCTCATGTGTTTCCTTCTCTCTGTATTATTTTTAGTAGCAGTGGTGAGGCTTCCTGTAGCTTCATTCATAGGAAAAAAGGTTTCAGAGCAGACTCGCTCTCTTCCCATTCACTCTGCAAACTCAAACTCATTTCTCAATCAATTATTACAACGTTTCGGCAAAATTGCCCTCGTCAGGCATGCTGCATATTTTGTTGTTTTTGATCCTCTGCTCAGCTATAACACCGCCATGCAGTCGAACACCTGCTCCGTGCAGCCATTTACCTGGCAGTCTGCACAACGGGAAGAAAGTCTGGACGTGTTCCAACATGGGGTCGGAGACGGCCCAGTGTGTGTGTTACTTCTACCCGATCAATGGTGGCTGCTTTAGTGAGTAATATCCACAGGCCGTGCAAGCAATGACGTCATCGACTGTTAGACCGGGAATTTTTGGTGGGGTAATATTTCCGCCATTTCCCACAATCAACAGTTCGGTGACACCAGTTTTCCGTACTGCAGTCGGCATGCTTGTGCGTATATTTTCAGTGCACTTTATTTTAGGTAAAAATTACCTGTACTGAAGTTACTGAAAATAAAACTCCACCGAAATTTTCCGGTTCTACAGTATCATTGATCGCGCTGCGAAGCTCGTGTGTAGTTAGCAGGGAGTCGTAAAATACCGGTATTTTACGACTCCCTGGTAGTTAGCGTAGTTCAGTCACCACCGTGACCAGCAAATGGCCGTCGTCATAACTGTACTCCCTAGTCAGAAAAGGCAAAATGGTGACTATGAGATTGCGGGTGGTACATGGTCATCACACCACAGATGTTGTCGTAATAGCAATTATTATGACGGTGGATGGTGCAATGCGTAAAGTGTTTGTGATTGTAGCAAGCTACCGTTCTTTCCAGAGTAAAAGCCGCATCCCCCATGTTGCCACTAAATACAGGCATCTACCATATTTGGCTAAATACAGACATCTACCCTATTTGGCTCTTTATCACCGTTATTTTGATCTATAAGAAAAACGGAGGACCAAAGAGCTACAATTATTATTTATTAAGGCCATGCCGTTTTTTTCCTATGTTTCGCGTCACTTTATTCCATGAAATCAATGAGGGAGGACGAAAAAAATAAAAAAAGCCATCCAAAAAAAAACAGTGTACGTGCATTGCATTTGTGTACCGCGTGCGTTAAATATTAGGTTGCGTTTTATTTTAGGTAAAAGTTGTCGGCACCCAAGTTACCGAATATAAAACACCGCCGAAAATTTCTGCTTTTACACTAACTGGTGGCGCCAGTGGACATTATATTTCCTCCGGAGACAAAAACGTCGTGACTTTTTTCATTAATGTTCGCTGCTGTTCTGTCGCTCTCTGTGTAGCTCTGTCGGCCTGAAACACCAACAGATGACATTTCCGAACCGTAGGAAGACATGATTCACATTCAGGAAAGCCGACAGTCATCGCAAGGCAAAGGTGTCGTGCTGTAAACCAAGCAAAGCGATGATGTTTTGCATTTTTGTCCAGCAGGCACATTGCTAACAAAAGCGCTGCACTCACTGCTCGTCGGTGCCAGTCTTTGGTTCAGAATGAGAAAGAGCAGGAAAATGGCACTGAGGAGCAAGAAGAGTGTGAAAGGGATAGCAGCTAGCGTTTTGAAATCTGCGTGATCCAAAAAAAACACCAGCCACAGTGAGAACAGGCCGGCAAGATGTCAAAACTCCAAACGCAAAGATGTGACAGCAAAGCTAAAAAGTTCAAAATCGAAGTCGGTATCCAGTGGAAGATCTTGCCTTTTCATCAGCCTCCACTCCGATGTCTCCTTAGTAGCATATAGGAGAACTAGCAAGATCTCCTCACAGCAGTCGTGACGTGATGGGATGAAACAATGCGAAATGTTTGGCTTTGCCTGTACGCGTCGTTCCGGTGCAGTATCGGGAGCCAAGGCGATACCAGAGTACCAGCTCCATCGCCGTCACCTAGATGCTAGGGAAGGCAATAGTGTAAATCACATACTAGCAGCACCAAAGACGATCAGGGATGTGGAGAAGCTGCTCCGGGACATGCAAGACCGCGTCGATCGACCTGCCACTTTGGTTGGTTCCAGCGGTGATGAATCGAGCGATGGCGACTCAGACTGACACTCTATTCCCACCAATCAATCTTGAAGATATTGCACACATGTCCATTGCGCTTGTTGAAGAGTTTCTCTTCCAATAGAACACTTTTGTTGAGCACAGTAACTCCTTGAAAAGTCATGTGAAAAAGTCACGAAGTTTTTGTTTGCGGATGAAGTACTTATAGTGTAACTTGTAGCTCCTTGGTCCTCCTTTCTCTTATAAATACATTTAAAATAATTAATCCTTGGCTGTCCACCCGAGTTAATTTGATCATCGGAGTATAAGCCGGTCTCCCCCTTTTTTGGGTGAATTTTGAGGGTTCAAAGTGCGGCTTATACTCTGGAAAGACGGTGCTCATAGATCAATTGAGGAAGTAATACCGCGTGGACTGACATGATGCACTTCCACTTTGTTTTTGTCTTACCAGCCCATCGTCCCCGGTATCCCCGATGCGGCTCAGGACACTCGACAGGCAAATGCTGGCGTTATAATTCCAAGAGAACGTTCGCAGGACGTGTGGCGCCTGCCTAGCCAGCCGAGTGTTTTCCCCACCTTGATCATTATTTTCTTCCCGTTGTAAAATTTTCTTTCAAATCTGCTTACTTGTATTTCAGATTTGTGCAAATCCAATGCACACCTATATCTCACAACCCTGGGGAATGCCTGGGTAATTATAATTATCATATTATCGTATAATAGCAATAAAAAGAACAAATTCTGCAGTCATCGCCACACTACAACGAAGTCATGAAAGTTTACCAGAATTAATTTTCTTGTCACATTCATCAGTGGAAAGTCGTGACTGAAGAGTAACCATGCTGAACAATGATTAAATATACATTCAATGATGTGTTACGAGAACAAAATACAGTGCCAAAATAGAAAGAGGGAAGGTGAGACAATAGCAGTGAAGTGAGAGCTAAGTGCAACGGTGGGTGAAAAACTAATAATTATAACGCTAAAACTGTGTAGTGAGACAAACAATCATGCTGTGCACCTACGAAAACAATTTTAACGCAACTACATGTTTCTTCTGCTTACAAAGATCAGGCTTATGCAAACGAAAACAAACAGCCTCAAGTACTTTCAACTGACTAGCATACCGTGCACGACAAAGAACAGAAAAACTAAAATCATCATACACCTGCAGACACTTAGGGTGAGACAACAAGTGAAGAAAAACGGCAGACTTCTTACGATCACAATCACCATCTGATTCCTCGTCTCCAACAACCGCAACCTCGTCCTCCGTTTCATCTCCCAACTCGTCCTCAGTGTCGTCCTCCGTGTCATTCTCCTCATCAACACTGATCGGTCCCAGGCTCGTTTGACGTTGTTTAACCTCTGTTCGTTGACTCCTCCTTTGATCTTGATGGCAACTTGTTACCATTGTTGTTGTTGTTGTTGTTGTTGTTGTTGTTGTTGTTGTTGTTGTTGTTGTTGTTGTTGTTGTTGTTGTTGTTGTTGTTGTTGTTGTTGTTGTTGTTGTTGTTGTTGTTGTTGTTGTTGTTGTTATTGTTGTTGTTGTTGTTGTTGTTGTTGTTGTTGTTGGTGTTGCTGTTGTTAAATCTTGTGTTCCCAGTGTCCTCGCCGGTGCTTGATCTCCAGTACTGTAATAATTCATTGAATAATTAGCCGTTGATCGTCTAGGTCTTTGAATGTTGATTGTGTTACTTTCTTTGTTGAATTCCGTCAACGAACAGAGGTTAAACAACGTCAAACGAGCCTGGGACCGATCAGTGTTGATGAGGAGAATGACACGGAGGACGACACTGAGGACGAGTTGGGAGATGAAACGGAGGACGAGGTTGCGGTTGTTGGAGACGAGGAATCAGATGGTGATTGTGATCGTAAGAAGTCTGCCGTTTTTCTTCACTTGTTGTCTCACCCTAAGTGTCTGCAGGTGTATGATGATTTTAGTTTTTCTGTTCTTTGTCGTGCACGGTATGCTAGTCAGTTGAAAGTACTTGAGGCTGTTTGTATTCGTTTGCATAAGCCTGATCTTTGTAAGCAGAAGAAACATGTAGTTGCGTTAAAATTGTTTTCGTAGGTGCACAGCATGATTGTTTGTCTCACTACACAGTTTTAGCGTTATAATTATTAGTTTTTCACCCACCGTTGCACTTAGCTCTCACTTCACTGCTATTGTCTCACCTTCCCTCTTTCTATTTTGGCACTGTATTTTGTTCTCGTAACACATCATTGAATGTATATTTAATCATTGTTCAGCATGGTTACTCTTCAGTCACGACTTTCCACTGATGAATGTGACAAGAAAATTAATTCTGGTAAACTTTCATGACTTCGTTGTAGTGTGGCGATGACTGCAGAATTTGTTCTTTTTATTGCTATTATAAAATTGTTGTCTCCACGTCGATTATTTGCATATTATCGTATGTGTAGGGTTTTGTTGATAACGGAGTTTCAGACCAGTAGCCCATTGGCATTGTCATACTTTGTGTAACTACGTTCTACGACTACAACTGCCTATCAGCTCCAGCACAAAGAAACCTACCATACACGTTGTGTGGTATGTTGCTTTCAAGTTTGCGTCCTTGCAGTGTGGTTTGAGGGTATTGTTGTTGGTGTACACTTTATTTATAGTGGAAGTCAAAAACAGGCAAAATGCCTAATAACATTGGACCCACTGTGAATACATTTAAAAAAAGGATATTGTGGAAATTGCCCGAATGGTCTTGCCAGTACCGTCATCGACATGCCTATCATGTGTAAGCTGGTTCTGGAAAATGGAGTTTCTCGTTTACTTGTATTTTGAGGAGGCGGGTGATCTGTGCTGTTGCTTTAGCTGCTATTGCACTGCACCAAAATGAGATACTACTACCCTAATTCAACGTTACCGCCTTGCGGCGCAATGAACATTATACTCCTAATGTTCCGTTTTAGAAGTACATTTCATCGTGTTCACATGATAATATTAGCCTTGCGGCCATCATTCACCATTGTGTTTCATGCGTGCCCAAATGCGCTCTCAGGCTTTCACAAAAACAGCAATTCGAGTCGTATCTAGCGCGTGCGACACCTTCGAGTACTAATTTTTTGACCCCGTCAGTCAAAGTGACTGGCATGTACGCTGGTACGCGTCTGATACGAGCTGAAAATTCCAACATGTTGGAATTTCCATTTCGGCGCGTTCCGTACGCATGGTGCCCCAAAAGCCATGAAAATGCGCACAAACGCGTGGTTTCGCGCGTACAAGCGCCAGTTGTGAACACAGCTTAAAACAGTTTTAGGCTGTGTTTACATGAGAAGTTTCAACCCGGGTCGAGTTCAGCCCGGGTTGAAAGTCTGTACGACAGACAAAAGAGGTGAGCGTTTACATGAAGACAGTTGACCCGGGTCAAATACTGATATGCCGCCAAAAGTCCACTTCTACAGTCCTGTATGGTCACGTGAATCCGTTCGCGCGAAATTTGCATCTGCAGTGCCGTTCAAACCTGGCGCGAGATACGCACAGAAGTACGTTTGTACGATTTTCTTGACCCGGGTTGATTTCAACCCTCCCCTTGGGGGGAGGGTTGAAATCAACCCGGGGCGAAATTTCAACCCGGGTCAAGCGCAATGCGTCGAGGTATATTATGTATCAGATTGCAACGACCAGGAGGCTCTTAGTAGTGGCTGCAAATGACCGATATCCGTCACTTGCAGCTCTGCATCAGAGACCTGTAGCTGGCCTGAAGAGTTGTAAAATTACTCCTTCGTAGCCGGGGGAGTCAGAGCGAGGGCGATTCACGGCTTGGTCAAAAAACTGTCGGCCTGGAACGTAAACGTGGATCTGCCGACACAGTTCACCTGGTTCACACGCCTGACCTGGCATGCTGCCTTGCGTGAAAGGAACATTTTTCCGAAAGCAAGCTTCTTCTCCAAAATTCGAAATTTCTTTCCCAAAATGCCGTCGTCCTTGACCTCGAAGCTGAATGTTGTTAGGATAGAAAATTAGCGAAGATGTAGCCGACCCATTCTGGCAAGCCGTGTGCCCTCTGGATATGCAGTTGTTCGCCATGGTCAACAATCTTCTTCTCCTTCGTTCGTACTTTCACTTTCCTGACCACGAATACAAGCGGTACCCATGCTCAGGTTAGTGTTTATTTGTCTGTCTATGCACATACATGTAATACAATGTACTGTTCGTGCTGCAGGCACTGGCCGATCATGGAAATAGAGGAAGCAGCCAGCTTTCTTTGAATTCTCGTGCTTTCAACAAAAATATGTACACACTTTCCTTGGCTCCTCTTTCCCACCGCCACCATGCATGCACAATCGAGCTTGCTTTAATGCCCTGCAGTGCAGAATGCTCCCACCACCGCAACTACCACCGCCGCCACCACTACCAGCAGCACCACCACCACCACCACCGCCACCGCCACCACCACCGCCACCACCACCGCCACCTCCACCACCACCACACCACCACCACCACCACCACACCACCACCACCACCACACCACCACCACCACCACACCACCACCACCACCACACCACCACTGTGACCACCACCACCACACCACCACCACCACCACCACACCGCCACCACTATAGAAGCATTGTCGTGCACGGCACGTCTGCAAGAGAAAATAATAGTATGCCAGTGCTGTAATGCCCTGCAGTGCAGTATGCTCCCGCCACCACCACCACCACCACCACCACCACCACTATGGAAGCATTGTCACGCACTGTACATCGATCCACAAGAGAAAATAATGCCAGTGACTTACTAGCACCTCCATGCTGCATGCAGACCTGGACACAGCACTGTTCCCTCTGCAGGAAAGGGGTGGGGGGGGGGGGGGTGTATTTCATTGTCCCTGCCTGAAGTAATAATGACTACATGACATGATATCCAGCTAACTTCGCCAGTAACGAACGACCCTTGATCGGGCATGAGAAAAGTGTTGGTATTTGGGAGTTGTCGTCATTCACGGGGTTGAAAATATACGGCTATATTGTTACTAGGTCTGAAGATAGTGTCACTATCCGTGGGTTGTTATACCCGTGGTTGACTGCAGATACGTTTGGATTATTCTATGAGTATATGAAGGGTATACGTTAAATATTTTCCTGAGGACATAGCACGAGGAAATTATGGGGAATGCAGTACATGTATAGAATGGTGCAATCCATTTCTCCCAGGGCACTTTCCCAAGACTCCTTCCAATATTCACTCTTGGCGCGACCCTTGTGAACTGAGCGGGGTGTATCGTTGAATATACCCCTCTCAGAACGTCTACTGATTGGCTGAAATCGCCCAATTCATACCTTTCCATGGATGTCAGGGAGTCGTAGCACCCAAGGAAACAACACGAGATCATGATACCCAAAATGATGTACTGTAAAAGCGGAAATTTTCAGTGGTATTATATTTTCGGTAACTTCGGTGCCGACAATTTTTACCGAAAAAATGCACCGAACTTTTTCGGTACTACTTAGTGGTACTAGCACCCTTACCTGGAAAGCGGGTATTACCGAAAATTTCCCTCCACCGAATCGCCGATTTTGGAGAATTCCGAAAATATTACACCACCGAAAATTTCTGCTTTTGCAGTACACAGATTGGATCCATGGAGATTCTACATGATCTGTGGTTTATGCAACTCGTGATTGCGGACTTGACTCACTGGCCCCAAGCATGGGTCAGTCAAGCGATGCTATATGCGAGCATGTATGTATCGC